AAGGTTTACCTGTCACCAGATAGACTAAATAGCATTCAGCAATTAGTCTATCTGGTGACAGGTAAACTTTGCCTTCCACCGTATCTATGACTGCCCCCAGATGGATTAACCGAGTCGATGGTGTTAAATGACTCTTTTTCCAATTTATTGAGAACCCGTGTTGTTGTAGGGATTGTAATGTGTTCTGAGTATCTCTGACTGCTTGATGATTGGAAGATGACAAAATTAAGATGTCATCAAGGTAACACTGGAGTCGTACCGGGATATCACAGAGATAAGCAGCTAGAGCTGCAAGAACCTTCGTGAAGGTCTTGGGGGCAGAAGCTAGTCCGAAAGGAAGGGCCACATATTCGAAATGGTGGTTATTATAACAGAATCTTAGAAATCTATAGTGGGAAGGCCGAATAGCAATACGTAGGTACGCCTCTGTCAGATCTATAGATGTAAAGACGCCACCTTTTCTGATGCCAAGTAAGATAGATTGCAGGGTGTGCATTTTAAACTTACGATATACTAAGAAACTGTTGAGACGTTTCAGATCTAATATTGCTCTCCACCCCACCCCCCAAACTTTTGGGAACAACAAAAAGATGTGAATAGAAACCCCATCCTCGTTGGTTGGTGGCTACTGTTTGGATGGTCGTATGTCCAGTAGATGTTGGATAGCTGTTTCCATGAGATTATATTTAACCGGATCTCTGGAGAGAGGGCATGACATGAAAGAATCTGGGGGAGTGGATTGAAACTCCAGCGCAAGGCCAAATCTGATCGTGTCTCTGACCCAGGGATTAGACGTTGAAGAGTCCCATTGGTCCGTGAATAATTTAAGGCGTCCACCAATGGGAGCCAGGTCCGGGGAGTTATCTTGGACATCGAAAAGACCTGTTTCCTGCTCCTTGAAAGGATCTCTTGGATTGACCACCCCTTCTGCTCCTATCCCTGAAGTCGGACCTGTCAGGCTGCTGCCCTGGTCTGAATGATGGAGGTCTCTGGTATCTGGGTGAAAAGGGTCCCTGGTAAAAGGGCCGGAAGGATCCCCTCCAAAAGAACTGAGGGTTTCTAGAATCTGACTTCCGAAAAAGGGAAGGTAGAATTTTCTTTTTGTTTCAGGTTTCAATTAGTAGCGGATCAAGGGAAGGGCCAAACAGTCTGTCTCCCACAATAGGAGACGAAGCCAGCTTGCATTTGTGCTTAAAGTCCGCTCGCCAATGTTTTAACCATAGTAAGCGTCGCGTTGTGACATGTGAAGTAATGGCCCTGGCTGAAAACTTGACCGCATGATAAGTTGCATCAGCAGAGAATTCAGCGGCTGCTATAAGTTTAGCAATATCTTGGTGCGCTCTAATGTTGGAATTAGGGACATGTTCCCGTAAGAGGCGGAGCCATCTGAGAGAAGAACGGGTAAAGAAGGAGGCGGCCGTGGCTGCTCTGATAGCCCATGCGTCAGACTGATGGGCCCTGCGTAGGGCTAGCTCGGCCCATTTTTCCTCCAGCTTTAATGCCTCCAGCGCTTCATTGGGAATGGAGGAGGACGCTAATTCCACTATAGGTTCATCTACCTCGGGAATATTCAAAAATTTTGAGAAATCAGGGGCCAAATTGAAATATTTCCTGTCATATCCAGTCGGGGCCGGGTACGCCGCTGCAGACGCCCACTGTTTCTGTACT